AAAAAAAAAGCCTACTTTAACAAGCTTGGGGGTTAAATTTTTTTATTGTACCTTATGAGTCCCATTTGATTAAAATAATGATGGTTATATTGAGGACCTCTCTGGAATTCTTTAGAATCTATACATGGCACTACTGAATTAACCTGGTTGTGGAAAAAGAAACAGGATTTCCAAGGGAAAAACTGCCAAACTGTTGCTGAGAAATAAGAATTGCCCTTGTGATGCTTTTTTAAAAGTAAAGACTTTTAACAAAGGCTTGGTATCACTTGTTATTCATGCTGATGCTTTGGCAGTGATGCTCAAATGCTACCCTTGGTAGGAAGAATGCTGTATGACAGGCTAAAATAAGACTTTTTCTTCTTTATGACTAAAGATCTAAGATCTTTAACTTTATTCCAAGTAAATTGGCAAACCACTCATGTCGAACATGTAAAGCATTTGGGCAGTAACTAGTTTTGAACTTCTTGGTCTTATTCACCTTGAAGATTTCAATAGAAGCAAATCAAAAAATGGATGAAATTGAAAAGACCTGGATAAAAGCATAGCATGTAGAGGAATCATAGCGGGGACTTATGTGGGATAGAGGGAGGGAGAGAGAGAGCGAGGAGAGAAAGAAGACGAGGAGGAGGAGACGAGAGGGAGGAAGAAGAAGAAGAAGAACAACAACAACAACAACCAGAAAGAAGAAGAGGGAGGGAGAGAGGAGAAGACAGGGAGGAGACCACGGAGGTCCCATGTTCAAAGGTTAGGGGGTGGGAAGTGGGTGCCCCTCACTTCTAACCTTGTGAATTAGATCTTGGTTGTGAGGGACTTGGCTGAGGAGACAATGGTTAAACTTCAGGGCAAAAACATACAGGCTCTGTGAGAAGTGAAAGGTTAAACAAGAAGTTTAGATTAGCGAAGCGTGTTGGGACTTGGCCATCGTCCTTCCTGTTTCCCCAAACAAAACTGCTTAGCCTTGAGATAGCTCCTTGCCCAAACTGCTTTTCTTCTGCTCTTTCCGCTTTCACTTGATATTCTAAACAGAAGCTGGAGTGTTCTTGGTTTCAGGGATTCTCCTGGGAGGCTCCTTAGTGTTGGCTGCTCTCGGCGGAGAGGGGCCCTCTGGGGCCCTCTCAATGAATGTACTAAATCTCCTCTCTAAGTAATCATTCATTCTTTACTCTGCCATGGTCGTACACTGCAACACCCCGTGGATGCCACCCAGGAAACTTGAAGTGCGCCCTGGTGATTGGGGACTTAAAGTTCTTTCTAGGGCGGTGATGGCAAAGCTATGGCACACGTGCTTCAGGAGGCTGTTTGTATCATTGAAAGCTCCACAGCTCACCAACCCTAGTCTATGGTCTCAGTCATGTTAGATTAAAGATAGCAAGCTAGAGGGGTCCAGAAAGAGCCTATGCAAACAGAAGGAAAATTTGACCTAGGAAATACCTGCACTTCCTTCAATATAGGTCAGAGGAATCTGCCTTTTGGAGAAAGAATTGTTAATTGAAGATCATCTAAAATGAATCTTACCAGGATTCTGCCTGGAAATAAGTCATGCACTGTGGAAAGGTAGTGGTTACCCTCCATATGTGTAACTTGAGAGGAAATTATCATTGATTTTCTCATTTTCTGTATCCATTATCCAAGTTATGTGAATACTAGGTTTCCTTAAAAACAGCACATATGGGGGCATTTATTCTGAAAGTTTAGAAAATGGAACTTAAAAATTTGGTACTCAAGAAAATAGGAATTAAGAATGATATTGTGAAATGAGCTTCCTGTATACATTTGATATTTTTTATATTGCTGTTTGACTCAAGCTAGATTTCATTATGCAAACTAAGTGGACAATTTAATGATAGTTTTTCCAGTTTGTACTGTGTTAATTTGGCTTTTGCATGCACCAAATTGCCAGTGTTCAGTTTGTGATGTGTATGTAAAACCTAAAAGACTTTTAAACATATGGAAGTACTTTTATGAATTACCCATGCTTATGTCAGGTTATGAACATTTTAACACCAAAATGATTTTTCACATTAAGATGGTGTAGGATTGGGTTTGCCTATATGCATTAGAAATCAGAAGTCAACAGAGGCTATTCACATAAGGTTTTATTCTTCCATGTGAAACGTCTGTAAGATAGCAGGCCCGGACTGGTATAGAAATCCCACAGATTGTCACAAGAGACCTACCTGCTCCTTCCAGTTTTCCGCTCTGCCCTTCCTTGGATGGTATTCAAGATGGCCCCTGGAATCCAGTCATTATGGTCACTTGTATGCAGCAGGAAAAGGAAAAGAAAAGAAATGATTTCCTGGAGCCTTGTATATACCCTGCTTATGCTCCATTGTCCAGTCTAGTCATCTGTAATATCTAAGTATCAGGGAGGCTGGAAAATGTGGGCCAAAACTTGATATGTCTTCCTAAAATGTGGGGATTCCATTACTGATGAAGAGGGCAGGCCTAATATTAGGGGGTACCACTTGCCTGTGATTCCAGAAACATAGAAGTTATGGTAGGCTCTGGCCTCAGACAGCTTCTCTTTGATGCTTGGCTCCTCTACTTACTAGGCTGTGGCTTTGCTTGTCTTAAAAATTTCTTTATCTTTTATTTCCTCATGTGTAAAGTGAGAAGAGTAGAATTGTAGTGAGCACTTACTATGAAGACACAGAATTGTGTCTGGACATGTGCTATTGTTATTATTATCATTTTGTTATTATTATTATCCCTATAACATATTATAATTCAGTGAGCTACCAGCAGTATATATAGCATTTGAGTTTTTTTTTTTAACCACTGCAGCCCTAATTATTTGTTAGATTTTCATTGTTATGATATAATACTAATTTTTTTAAAGAAGAGGTTTATTTAGATCACAGGTTTGGAGGTTGAAACAGAATTAGCACAAGCTGTGGTCAGTGCTCCAAGGCAGATGGTGCCAGAGCATGGTGGTGTTGGCGAATTAGATGGTGAGGCAGGCTGGGTGGGTCCAGGCTTGTTCCTTGTATGCCAGTCTTCTCTCAAGAACTGTCAAGGGGACACAGGAGAACTACCTCACATCCCTAATGACTTAAGGACCTCTCAGTAAGCTTCACACTTCAGATGTTCTGAAGCACCTCCCAGTAAAACCATCCTGGAAACCAGTCCTCCAACCATGTGAAGCTTTAGGGAGGATACAATTAAGCCTACCCAAACTGCAGCAACTTAGAGTCTAGTATGATGTCTGGTGCTTTGTAGATATGGATGAACCAGATTGAATGAGTTTTGAATCACAGATTACTTTCTAGCCAGTTTACTCGAGCATTAATCCCTCTCGGCTTCAGTTTTCCCATTCCTGCAATGGAAATAAATTATGTCATGTATTTTCCCTTTGCCTTTCCAGATCTATTTCTCTTCTCAACCAAATTCTGGACTGTATCAATAAAGTTCCCTTCCTTACCCCCTGGTGTTTCACTGGGTTTGGCCCAAGGGAGGACTGGCAGGTGATCAGAGATGGAAGGAAAGTGAGTGTGGCCGTTTATTACTGTGGCTTCCTCTTTGTAAGGCCAAAGTTTCGTGATAACTGTGTATCTTTGTTCTGAAAAGCACAACTGTCAGGTGATGTTATCTTTTTGGCTCTAGGTTTTTCTGGGTTCCGTTATCTGCTCTAACCTCAGTCTCTTCACTAACACTATCCTCACGTGCTTTAACCTTGTGGACTTTTGTAATGCTTGCCCATACTTTTATAAACAGACCATTAAATTTCCCTAAGTTGCCCATTTGATTATTTTTTCCTTCTGAGAGCATGGTTCATACACAACAGTTACATGACATACTGCACATACAGTGTCTAGCACAGAATAAGTTCTCAAGTTTAAACTCCACAAATGCTATTATTATCTATTTCTTTTTACTTCTCATTATTTCAGGTTTGGCAATATCTTTGTCTCACATAATTTTTAAAGGTCTAGTGGATTTGTGGCTAGTCTACTGTTGAAAAGATGGGCAAAGCTGGGAAATTGGATTGGGAGCTAGTGACTTACGAAGTTGAAATCTTGGAGCTCAGGGGTCTGAGAAGCCAAGACTCTGTGGTATGGGCCAGAGGACCAAGATGAGAGACTGTATTAAGCTCCTTTTAAGGAGTGTAGGATTGTAATTGTAGTTGAGCATTTTTGCTAACTCAGAATCACCGAAGGTCTTTTGGTATAGCTGAGATGCTCTTGCTGTTGAAGTATCCAGGTCTCTAAAGAGAGGTCATTCTATTTTGTTTATAATTCAATGGGATTAAGGTGTTTTAAGCCTTCAGTTCATATTTTAGGTGACTCTAGTCTTTAGGTTCAAGAAAGTAATGAACTGTCTTGGTGTTGAGTTTTGGTTCTCTGCTCTGAACCTCCAGATTCACGATCTAGTTTTATTTTCAAGATGGAAATATGGAATCTTTAGCACCCATCTTTATTTACCAATGATGTTTCTATCATTGATTTGAATATATCTTACAATTTTCAGATGATCTCCCACAGTAATAATTGCTTGTCAATTCAATGAATTATTCTTAGAGAATGAATGAATAATAATGATGACAGTGACAATAATGAAATGTTTTTTGATTTACAAAGTGAGGACTACAAGTGTTTTATTACTTAGAAAAGTAAAAAGAAACCAACCCTGAGAAGGATAAAGATAGAGACAGAAAGTAGGTAGAGTATTTAGTTGACTAAATGTATTTTCCAGCAACAGTACAATAAAGAATTGCTATTTTTAGGTATTTATGTTGAATAGTTGATGGTTATAATATATTTTTTTTGCAGTACAGGAGATTGAACCCAAGGCTTTTGAAATGAGCTATATCCAGCCCCATTTAATTTTTTTCTTGTTTTGAAAGAGTGTCTTTCTACATCATGATCCTGAGATAATTACATTTTTAAAAATGTCAACTAGAGACAACAGTTAAAAGCAAAATGTACTTCAGTAGGAATATATTTTACTAGCTAACCATTTAGGTGATTAATTTTTCTATTTGGCTTTCTATTTTTTTTCAGATTTGGATATCAGAAACACATGAACAAATGTCACAAGGTTTTTCAAAAAGAGAATTGGCTGAAATAAGAAGCAAGGCCTTGTTAAATGAGGAAACACTGTGCTCTGGGATTATTGAAAGGTATTCTTAGAACCTTCTCTTGCTTACAGAATATGCATGTGTGGAAAAGATTGTAACAGTAGGAAGAAGGATAGAAACCCCAGCTACACATCAAATGCCTTTGTGTCACGCTGCCATGCGCTGGAATTCCTTTTTCCTCAGTTGCTTACAGACAACACTGTACTTATTCTGGATCCACCTAAAAATCTCATTTCTTCTTTATTCATCTAAGTTTATACATCCGGACTAAATTTGAACCCCACTTCATCAACTTACTTGCAAAAGTGTTAGTTTCATAGGGTACGGTGAAGTTTAGATGAAAGAAAATAGGAAATGTGCCTAGAAATGTTAGGTTGTCATTAATCTGAATTAAATTCTCTGATATCCTTGCCCTCTGCATATTTTGTGTTCTACCTAACAGTTGGACTTGGAATTCACTTGTTTATGTGAATGTGTTTCCCCAGAGAGCATTCTTTGAGGGTAAGAACTATTTCTTAGTCACAGCTGTAGTCTTGCACCCTGACACCGTGCCTCTGCATAGAAGTGGGTAATATAGACTTTTTCTAGTATTGTTGCTTCTGGAAAATGCAGTAGAATTAATGATAAAATACAAAAAATTCATTTTATTTGTTAACACATTTTATTTTACAAAGCATTTAAATGTTACAAACATGGAAACTCTTAAACACAAAATTCAGCTCCAAAGTAGTTTTGTATGACTTTGAAGTTTATGTGTGCCAGTCTGACATGTTTTCAAAAAACAGTTGTCTTGTTTATAGGGACACTGCCACAGGCTTTGGGGCTGTGTTTACCAGATATCCACCAGATCGGGGCAAAATTTAAGTAGTTCTTAAATTACTGAGTTAGCACACAATTATTGATTCCAGAGCTTTGCTTGAAGGGGTGAAAGCATACCCTTTATATGACATCTTGGACTTTCCTTTAAGGACAGATTTTTGTTCATCAAGAGCTTTAGCATTAATAATAATAGTAATACTAAAACAATCAATCTACACTCATTTTATTTTCCGTATATTTGTAAATATTACCGCTCTGTAAAATTTATTTGTAACCGCTGAATCAATACCTATACTGAAGTGTTATTTGCAGACCTAGCCAAAATTTTTAAGTCACTTGATTTGCAAACTTCTAGTTAAGGTCAAATAAGAAGCTGATCTGCCTTTTGGTTTCAGCTGTTGTACTATAAACAAGTGTCTTGTTTAGTGTCTTCAGTGCCATGTTTTTCCAACTTTCATGCTTTATGTTAATTGTTAACAAGCATACTGCTGAAGTGGTGTCACGTTTCTAATGCAAGAAGGTTATGCTGCACCTTTTAAAGAAAGTACCTGTGTTAGGTAAACTTCATCCAGGAAAGAGGTATAGTTGGTTTTGAGTCCAATGTTAGCGAGTCGAAAACATATTCTAAGTAAGGTATCTTAAACAAATACATATAGAATAATGTCGATCCTTTAGTGATACATTGTGGTCAGAGGCTGGCAGAACCCTAACCTTCTATTTCCCCCAAGAGCAGTATTTGAATATTTGCTAATACAGTATTTGTGTCAACTTTACTGAGCATTACTGTGAACAATAAGAAATGACCAAACAGCAAGACATTAATATTTTTACTAATGAAAGGATTATGCTTATTTTGGGGGGATAGTATAAATTGTTATTACAAAAACATTTTTCATCCACTTATCTTCCTAAACAGCTTTCATAATGGGTAGATGAGTGCTGTGGAAATATACTTACAAGCATGATGAAATTCTAAGTATTGGGTTACATATTATAGGATTATTGTGAAGATTAAATATTTTTAATATATGTAAAACAATTAAAATGGTAGCTGATGTCTACTTAGGAAATGCTTTACTGTACACTGGGTGAGCCCTTTCAGTCTTTAAACTGATGTGGGGTCAGGTGCATTTTCTTGATTTATTTAACTTATCTCATCTTGATTTATCTTGTTTTCTCTGTTATCTCTTTTGAAAATCATTTATTTAGCTGTTGGGTCACTTGGCCTGTCATCTAATTTTCTTGTCTCTTCTTTCTTATTTTCCTTTTGTCTTTTGTATTATTATTCATTAAGTTTATTGGTCTTTTTGTCTTTACTATCTACTTTATTTTTTGTTACTTCAACCCTACTACTAAATTGTCTCTGAATATTCTGTTTGTTTCCAAATTATTCTGTTGTTATACATTCCTTGTCAAGTTGTTTGATCATAATATCTCTTTTTATCCATGTAGGCATAATAAACATTTTATTTTTAAAATTTTCTTCCTCATGCATAGTCTCTGTTACTGTGAGCTGTTTTTTCTTTGTTTCATTTGTATAGTGTCTGTTTTCCACATTAGAGGTGTCTTCCTCTGACAGCTGGTAACCAGTCCTCACTCCTCTTTATGGCTAGGAAGAGATGGTGCTCAGAGCTTGGGAATGAGACTTGTTGAGTCGGAGCTTCCTTGGAGGAATCTAGATAGGGCATTTTTTCAAAGTAGTCCAAGAATCAGAATTTCAGTCTTTTCTCTTTGGTGGGTCAGATTCCCAGAGGAACCTCCAGAATCGCTCGTCTGGTGCTGTCACCAGATGGGGACTGAGGAAACGTCAGAGGAAGCCGGGCGTGGTGGCGCACACCTGTAATCCCAGCACTCCGGAGGCTGAGGCCGGAGGATCACTGTGAGTTTGAGACCAACCTGGGCCACGTAGTGAGTTCCAGGTCAGTCTCAACTATATAGTGAGACCCTGTCTGGAAAAAAAAAAAAAAAAAAAAAAATG